CGTCTCCCTCTCCCTCTCCCTCTCTCTCTCTCTCTTTCTCTCTCTCTCTCTCTCTCTCTCTCTCTCTCTCTCTCTCTCTCTCTGTATGTGTCTCTCTCACCCCCTATCGCTCTCTTGCTCTCTGACACACACTCTTGATCTGTGTTGTGTGACCGGGTGGTTGTACTGCGGCCTGGACAGGACCAATATGTGTGGTGCAACACGGTTGCAATCCACAAACCTGTCACAATCGCGCGACGATTTCAGGCGATTTCTTCGCTTTTTTTTACACCATCTTTTTTTTCTCTTTCGGTGTTCGCTGCGGTCGCGCGCCTCTTCTCAGTTGGCTTGTGCGGTCTTCGGTCCGGGTGTTTTGGGGTCATTTGTCGGTTATGGACTGTCGAGGCGAAATCACTCGACCGTCTCGAATGCTGTAACGAACGAGGAGTATATGTGTATGACCTTTTAATACTTATCCTCACACCAAAATGCAAACTGTTGTTTTACGACGAGTATTTTATTTTCGCAGCGTATCTCACGGCGGGTGCGTGACCCGCGGTGTGGTATACTCGCCCGTGCATGGCATGGGAAATGATATTTTCGCAATTTTCTTTTCTCCAACGGCGGTGCAAATGTGCGGACCGCTCCACGCAACGCAGCGCTGCCGCAATGTAAACAACAAAGGTCGTATAATGAAAGAAATAACAGTGCCCTTTTTCTTCTTTCTCTTTCCAGATTCAGAAAACTTAGAAATTATTCGACAAGACCGAGTCAGAAGAGACGCCAGCGGTGAGTACTGCCCCCACCCACTACTTCTCGTTTTTTCGTGTCTTTCAAATTCTTTCACCTCTTCGTGACCTGTCCAATTAAACGATCATTTCTCCGGCGTGCGCGTGTGCGCCGCGAGCCTTGTGCGCTGTCCCCTGTCCTTCTGTTCTTCTCGACGCGCGCGCGGACAGGCCTCCTGCTGTCGCGAGCGTGTCGCTGTCCGCGAGGCGCCTGCTCACCAACACGGGAACACACTTACAACAATGACATGTCATAAAGAGCGCGGCCCGCTCGGCCCCGCCTCGGCGCACCAGCGGCGGAGGAGCCGGGGAATGGAGCCGCGGAGCCGCATGGCGGTGAGGTCGGGGGCGCGGCGGGCCCCGCTGACCTTACGCATCCTGGTGTGGGGCGGGCCTGCTCAGCCCCTTGCGGCACCTCCCCGGGAGCCCCTGGGAGGTACGCACGCCCGCGGAGCACGGAGGCGTGACGGGGCGGCCTGCCTCACGGGCGCTCCCCCGGCGGCGCCCCAACCTCAAGATAACAAACCTAGGCTCACGACGCAACTGCTTGGAAGTCAGGAAAGTTAGGGAAAAGTCAGGGCCAGAATAGGGCAGGGATGTTAGGGTAGTCTGGAAACCCAAGTCTGTACTTGAACACACAATATTCTGCATACCTACATGTATGCAGAATATTCTGCATACCTACATGTATGCAGAATATTCTGTGTACTTGGCAAGTACACAGAATATTGTGTGTACTTGATCAAGTACACAGAATATTGTGTGTACTTGGTCAAGTACACACTAAGTCTCTTGCATAAATGTATGGAGGTTTTAGTGTGTACTTGACCAAGTACACACAATATTCTGTGTACTTG